AAAGTGGCCACACAGAAACAGCAAACCACCAAACGGAGAAGAGGAGAGGACGATATCGTTCAAATAAAACGACAGAAACGAGAAGCTTTCTCCGTTCTGAGCTTTAAAGAGTGGAAACGTACAAACAGTGTTAGTTCACAGTAACAAACCGCTCCTTCACGTGCACACGCATCCCTCTGTGTGTGTGTGTGTGTGTGTGTGTGTGTGTGTGTGTGAGTGTGTGAGAGAGATAGAGGGATGCTTCATCACAACACATTGGGGGTCAGACACGGTGAGGTTGGAGGTGGAGCTCCACCCGTTCGCAGATTAACAGAACGACCGTGAAAATTAATGAGTCAGAGGAGGAAGCCCCACTTTCCTCCAGCCCCTGAGAGCAGTCTGGGACCAAAACAGACACAAAAAAGAGGTAAAAAAAATAAAAAAAACGTCCAGATCCATAACAGCTAACTGAATAAAAACCGGTTTTATGCCCTCAGAGAGCGGTTGGAAGTGGGACCTCCGTTTAGGAGACCTGCGTCCAGTGCAGAGCACAGAGCAGAAAACAGAGAAAAACACACCATGGAGGAGGATCAGAAGAGGGCAAAGGTTAGACTGAAATGTCAGAGGGGAGAGCCAATCAGAACGAAGCGTGTCAGTCATGTGACCAGGCTTACCTTTTAGCTACAGGCATACAGTGAGACAAAACGATCTAAAGGAAGGGGGACAAAAGGAAAAAAAAGAAAGAAAAAACAAACAAAAAAACGAAAAACAAAACGTAAACAAAAGAAAAGTGTAAAATAAATAATCAAAATAAATAAAATTGGTGGAAATAAAACAGAAGAAAAAACAGAAAGAGAGAAGAATGGTCATTGTGCTGTTAAGGGAGGGGCGGCATGTTAACAGGCAGAGATTAGAGGGCCGTTTCACAGCACAGGATCCGTTAAATTAGGAAGATTACAGGGATTCAGGATGTTTATGCAAAAAATGTCAAAAAGTAAGCAGCAGCCCTCCTTAACTTTCTGATCCTGTGCTCTGAAACTGCATTTGAGGCTGAAAACCAACTGCCCACAAACCCACACGGAACCTTTTGGATCCAAAATAAAACCAAAATAAAACCATCCGAGGGGCTAACGTGTGGAGGGGGTGGAGCCAGATGTTATTCAGCCTCAAAGCATGTTGATTATTATCATTTTTATCGGACGGTTATCGATTTATCCGCCACTTTAGCCAGTGAAACGGAGAAGACGTGTCCCCTTACAGCTCTAATCTGTCGCCTTTTAAAGGTCTGTTTGCGTAAATAACCGCCGTGCTGATTAAATGTGATACAGAAATCAAACAGATCGGGATCAGAGTAATGAATCAGCAGCATGCATGTGGGATCCATAAAAGCTGGCAGATGTCAGCTAGTCCCTCAGAGGCTATCTGGATGGAGAATAAGGCCGGGCTCTGGACGGAGATCAGATCCAGAGTGGATCTGACCCAGAGTGGATCTGACCCAGAGTCAGCCCACAGGAGCCCTGTGGGGGGGGGGGCGGGGGGGGGGGGGCTTCCCTGGGTCAGAGGGCAGGTGCGTGCAGGGGGCGGGGCTATAGACCCGGGCAGCGTAGTCCTCAAACGTGGTCGGCTCCTGGTGGTGCTGAACGATGGTCTCCAGGTACCGAGATCGCTCCTCATAGCTGAAGCCTCAAGTCAAGGAAAAACACTTTTACAATAATCACTAATCCTGCTGGCACCCAAAGTGTTTCATGGATGTGTAAAACATCTATTTGGTGGAATAAAACCTGGTCCAGCGTCCTCTAATCCATCATCCCACCAGTCTGGAAGAGGTTTTGGTCACTATTTGAGCAGAATTGTTGGGTATTTTAATGTTTCTGTCATGGTTAATGCCTCATTATGTAAAAGCTCTTTAGCCAAAATTATATTTTCAATACTAAAATAAAATTGTTATTATTATCAGTGCATTTTCAAATTTGGAACATACCTTATACTGTCTTGCTAATTAATTTATTCTTCTCACACTGTTATTAACACTTATATATCTGTATAAATACATAATGTTACATATGTATATATTTATTTATATTTTGTGTGAAATGTTGTGTATATATATATATATATAAAAAAATAAATAGACATGTATATAAGTATATGCTGTTGTATGTCTGAAGTTGGTAATGAAATCTGGGATTATAAAGTATTTCTGATTCTGATTCTGATTAAATGCAAAAAATGGCTAAATACATTTTCATTTCTTAAATTAGATGTCAAATTCCATCTATTTCCTGTCATTCTAAAAAAGAAAAGACAGTTTGGGAGGTTTAATGTTCCACGTTATGCATCTGTGCCCAGTGAATCGTCCAAAATTTGAGGAGAAAAAACAGGAGAACTGGGTTTGAAATCCTGATAAACTGAAAAAAAGTAAACCACTTTAATTCAGTCTGAATTAAAGCTCTTCATGCTGTATTCAGGGTTAGAAATGTTCTGATGTGAATCATTAATCAAAATATCACCATAAAAATTTTTATATAACTAAAACAAACATAATTCTGGATTTATATCTGAATTCACACAACAGAAAAAACCCTATTTTATCACTTGCTGTCACGGTTATTTATCAAAAGAGAAAGAAACTGAATTCAGTGGAGAGCAGAGTAAATGGAAACCGGGGCTTTAACTGTCCATCTATAATAATAATCTCATTGATAGAGCGACATTTGCCCCTTTCGCCCCTCGTCCCTATCCTACACACACTCACACAGTTCAGCCTCATCTTCCTCCAGAAGCATTACCATTTGCTCCGTGAGCTCCAATAACCGGGATTTTAAATGAGTGTTTATGTGTTTGTGTGTATACTTTGGGTAGAAACCTCTGCATGTGTGTGTGTGTGAGTTAACGTCTGTCTGAGTGATGGGGTTTAAGCCAATGAATCCTCAGAGTGAAATCTGTGTGTGTGTGTGTGTCTGTGTGTGTGTGTGTGTGTGTGTGTGTGTGTGTGTGTGTGTGTGTGTGCGTGTGGACGGGCTGGGCCCTCTGTAATGGGGCCCATGGGGTTTCTATTGGGTTATAGGCCGGTCTATGGGAGGAGAGGGATTCAGGTCTAATGGTCCCTGATTCGGTTACCGACGGCGATAATAACAACAGCGCGGACGGGTCCAAGAGGGGAGGAAACTTATGTCCTGAGTTGTTATTGTTTGTTCTTAATGTTTCAAAAAAGGAAGGCACAGCCAGAGGGTTCTGGGTTGGAGTCCCAGGGGAACCAGGACCAGAGGG